TTTTAAAGATTTTATTTATTCATTTTTTCCCCCCAAAGCCCCAGTAGATAGTTGTATGTCATAGGTTCACATCCTTCTAGTTGTTGTACGTGGGACTCGGTCCCGCGTTGGACGGAGAAGTGGTGCCTCGGGGCACGCCCGGGATCCGAACCCGGGCCGCCAGCATCAGAGCGCGCGCACTCAACCGCCAAGCCACGGAGCCGGCCCCATGTAAATTGTTTTAAACTACATTTCAAAACAGAAAAGGAAAAACCATGAGTCTCCCATCCTGACACAACCCTTCCAAACCATTTTGAAGAAAGCTCCTCTGTAGCTGGATCACATTCCTTGTGTAGACGCAGGAGCCCTGGGAAGCGGCCCCAGGCCCTCGCCTGTGGCTTCTCCCCCAGACGCTCACAGTGGCCTCCAGAAACCTGGTGAGTCTGTCTTACCGCTCCACTTCCTCATCTTCCCAGTGCAGTACTGTCCTGCCACCAGGTAATTAAGGACTGTGAGGTGTGCTTTAAAAATATAAGGCTCTGTATTTTAAAAATAAGCTTCCATCTACCTGGCAATTAGTCAGTCTCCTAAGGGTTACTGAAGCTGTTGTCTGCAGCTTTGGAAGAGGTGGGGTGTCTGGTGTGTGAGACTTGATGGGAAGTAGAAAAGAAATCTATGGGTCATTTGTTTTCCTTTGCCCCAAATTCATTTGCATTTTCATCTGTTTGTCAATCAAATGTTTGTTACATTTAGCAGCTTCGAATGTTGGATACTGAATATTTTGATGTTTTTGATATCTTGATGCTGATATTTTCCTAAACTCTCTTAGTAGCTGAACAATGTACTACATAGTTAAATTGAGTTTTGATATGTTTTGGGTGGCTATGAAAATATAATTTGATCTCAAATTAATTTTCCTTTGAGAGTTTCTATTTCTGAGAGGAGACTGCTGAACTCAATACTCAAAAAATCAAAGGAGTTTCAACTCTTGAGTTCTTATATACAATTTGTATGGAACAAATTGAAGTCTACAGAAAATGGCCAGTTTACAAATAGGCTGTATTTTTACAAGTTCATTTGGAAGTCAGTTGTTTAAAACTCAGGCTTGGGGCCGGCCCCGTGGCTTAGCGGTTAAGTGCGCGCGCTCCGCTGCTGGCGGCCC